GCCTGTAACTGGGAGCCCGGGAGTGGCGATTCCAAACGACTGCTCGAGTTGCAGGGAAATTTTTATTGGTACAGTAAAAGATTCCCTGTTATCTAGCTATTAAGGAACGACACCGTTAACGCTCTAGCTAGGGGAACGGAGCATGCACAGCACACAGGGCAGCCGCTAGTTGCAACCGAAACGAGCGCCAAGCAGAAATGGCGATGAGCAAGTCAAGCATTCGAACTCAGCAGTCAGTTCAACAAACCACACCGGTTGCCTAAATATACAATGAAATAATTTTAGTTAGAATTCTACACAGGCAAGTCGGAGAATCTCCAGACTGCTACACTATTCATTATGACCATGGACAAAGTCCTTGCGACCTCAGGACAGCGGCTCGGGATTTTGCTGTGACTGGCAATCTGAACGGAGCGCTGGCATATGCTGAAGACCTGGTGCTAGCAGCTAATTCTTCCTCAGAACTCCAAGCGAAGCTTAAAGTCATAACGAAAAGACTACATGAGGCCGACATGGCATTAAACATCGCCAAGTGCAGGTGCATGACCATCAGGAAGCTAGGGGAAAAGAAAGCTGGTCGTATTGGAGCCTCACTCCTATAAGGTCAGAGAAGTGATACCGCTTATGTTGCCCAGCGAGGATGTCCGATACCTCCGTTTACCAGCTAAGCTGGCAACTATGATGAGATTAGTAAGGCGCCACTGAAGCCCCAGTAGCGGATCCGGGTTCTATGTGATTTTGCCCTGAAGAAGATTGAGTATGAGATGATACAATTAATGCGCACCGGAGATGGCCTCGACTACCAAAGGACACGTCGATGGCCTTTCTTAACGTTAGCTCAGCTGAAATAGGAATGGGTGTGTCGGCGATGGGGATCACGATAAGCTTAGCGCAAGGAGAGAAGTCTCAAAGGTTCCTCATTTCTCCGGACGAGTGGATCAAAAGCCTGTCCACGAACGATACTCTACTAGTGGACAAACAGGTAGCTAGTCTACCAATAAGAGTAGGCGACACTGAGATAGGAAGCAGGACCGAAGTTGCCCAACCATGGAGATCTCAGTACACCGAGATGTTGGACCTCAAAGGTGTTCGCACGGGTCTAGTGGATAAGTCTACCCTATGGGTTCGTCGGCATGAGAGTGTCTTTCACCGTCTTTACATCAGGGGCATCAAGCTTAGGGCAGGTGTCTTACCATCGAAAGTGAGAAGTAGCAGAGGCGTGTCGCGTAAGCTTATGACTTCTCTCAAGTGCCGAGGGCTATGAGGGTATCCTGAATCGGTCACTCACGTCTTGCAGAAGTGTGCGGTCACGCACGACGCTCGGTGCGCACGGCACAAATGTGTTGCTAGGAAGATAGCCACCTTAGTGCGTAAGCGGGGCTTTCATGTTCTACAACAGCTTACTGTAGGTAAGGACAGGAGCCACTTCAAGGCAGATCATTTTATTGCTTCTCGAGACAACGTCTTGGTGATTGACGTGGCTGTTACAGCCGGTCAGAATGTTGAGCAGATGTGGGTACAGAAGGTGGAGAAATGGAATACTGCCGAAGTGAACCACCAGTTGCTAGCTCTACTTAAGAGTGGTCAGGAACTCTTGAGAGGGATAAAGTATTTACCCTTGACCTCCACAGAGCGTGGCTATCTTTACAGGCGTTCCACAGACAGCCTGAGGATGTTAGGAATAACACCTAGAGATATATCTGACGTATACCTCTTTTAGTCATCCAAGGCTCTTTGATTTGTTGTAATGTTTACCACCGAGGAACGTAGTCACGCTTGCTTAACTGATCCCACACTTTCTATCCAAAATTTTGCAGGGTCTATGAAGCGATGATCGAAACTGCTCCGGCAGGGGGATCACCGCAGATGACCACCCGAAAGAGGGCGTTAGCGACTTGCAATCGTTGCTGGAAATTAGACGTGACTATAATCCTTTCGATACGAATTCATTAGTATATTCCCTGATATTTACTTTGAGCGGGAATTTATCCGAAAGGCACATTAGGTATTAAAGGGACCATTGTCCACGGTAGTCGTCGATGACTACCAACTCTTGGCCCGTGTGATGATCCCACCATTGCGTTTCGTTTTTCCAGTAAAACGACTCCGTTTGTAGGCATTGTTTAAGCGCAGATGTAGATTTCCCTTTCCTCGTTGGCCGATGGTGTCACTCAACTTTCGTTTTGAACATCCTAGGTGGGCTAGCGCAGGCTAGTTCGAGTGCCCGCAGCAGCTGAGGAAAATGAGCTAGCATCTTGAACCTTACAAAATGTCGACCAATGCTGGTACCAAAGGTGGTGCCAACGAAAGTTCTACAGTCGAGGTGGAAGACTTAGGGAGGGTGGCCAAGAGGACCAAGATCCGAACGCCTTTAGGATCTCCTCTAGCCTTGGAAACGCCTGGTCAGACCATCGACTTGCGCGGGTCCCCCTCAGGTGTAGGACCTGTCGAACTCTTGACCTTTCTGACATTGATGGAAGTTGAGTTTGCTGACCTGGAAGGGTTGGTAGACTTAGTAGTTCCGTCCTCGCTGGTTAGGGCAGAGCGAGATGGTGTATAGCAGGAGTTGGAGGACAGCAATGCTCGACACTATATTTAAGGAGCTGTCTGAACACCGAGAGGAGAGATTCCAGTTAGAGCTGCTTTTAGATCTAGCCCTGAACATCCAGGGAGGACGGCTGACCACCGCCGAGGTGCAGGCTCAGTTTGAGGCCCATATGGATAAATGTTTCCCATCCAAGTGGATCAGCCGTAGGAAACTAGAGGTTCCAGTAGCCGTAGGTAAGCGTAAGATTCGTAAGACCACTTACGGTTAGGTGCAAACTCTACCGGAAGAAGATCAAGGACGCGGCTGGATGTATACAAGATGGCATCTGGAAAGACATCTACAAGATGTCTCACAAACTATGCGACGGTCGCCAGGAGTACTGGCGGAACACCTTTACGACTCCTGGCTCGGTGGGCACAAGACCGCCCCCGGATGCGGTTGAGAACTATGACTTAATCTCCCAAATCACCGTCGCGGAGATCCAAGAAGCGCTCAAGGATTCTAACAACATGAGCCCAGGACCAGACACAGTGACCACCGTAGAACTAAGGCGTATGAACACCAGAGTGTCAGCCATTGGAAGCCATGGAACTCAAAACAAGGTACAGAAATAGTAAAAGAAAACACAACACAACACATCCAAATCCATGGTTTCGTCAGAGGGCGAGATACCACTCGGTTGCCCAAGCCGAAGTAGGGTGTTGACTTAGGGGACACCACCCCGAGCCTTTGGCTGAATAGCCTGCCCGCAAGGCAGCGGATCGAATTCAGGGAATCGCGCCCATTGGGAGCCGGTGACTGATTGCTCAGTTCATACGTCTTTCGTTTGTTCCTTTGCCAAACGGGGGCCCAATGCTCCCCACAATTACAGCATAAACTTGCTGGAATACAATGCTTCGCTAGGATGAAGCAATGGGGCAGTGACTTTATTTAGTGGCGAGTCACGTCCGCCACGTCACAGTGTTGTTAAACGGACATGTGTGGCTTTTTATAGGGAGAACGCTTGCCAGGCGAAAACCCACCACGTCCTGGAACACTGCGGCTGAACCATTTGCTGGAACGGGAAAATCCCGTGTCAGTGCGCGCACTGACGATGTCACCTCGAGTGGTGACGAAACGTTTGCAGTCCACCTCCTGTGCTTAGCGAACAATCAGACAACCAACAGTAAAGATATAAAAAGGAGAGGCCGGCCCTAAGAATACAATGTACGAAACAGAATTTAATAGTGTCACTCAAAGATAAAGTAATGAGAAAGTGGTGGCTTTTCTCAGTGCACAAATCCTGTTCGTGGAGAATTGCAGGTCGCGGCCAGTCCGTTCGTGTAACGATTGTCTTGTCGTCGTGGGAGTAGCGCTTT